AGAGAGAGAGAGAGAGAGAGAGAGAGAGAGAGAGAGAGAGAGAGAGAGAGAGAGAGAGAGAGAGAGAGAGAGAGAGAGAGAGAGAGATTCAAAATGAGAATTGAAAAGCACTCCACGCCACACAGTCAATCAATAGTATCTAGAGTGTGGCGTGGAGTGGTCTAGAAAATTGCCTCTGACTGACAAAAATGTGCTCTCCAGCTGTGTGCAGTCAGTCACACACTCTGTTGTACATAATCTTTACAGCCTGGAAAATTGAAAATTGAAAATTTCGGAATTTCCACACTACACTGCGATTGCACTTCTCCACCACTCACTGGATGTTCTACAAATTGTCTTTGACTGACAAACTCGTTCCCTCTAGCGCTCATCGGATCTTCCTCTAGATTGATGTTGTCCCCATGCCGGGGACTCCGTTGGACAGCTCCCATGTTACACGGTATGGTATGGTATGGTATGGTATGGTATGGTATGGTATGGTATGGTGCCTTCTCAAAGATGTGGAGCAGATGACGGCGATAGGGTAGGTAGGTAGGATATTATTGATCGGAAGTTCACAATGTCTCTCTTCTTCTATTGGAAAGTCTGATGTGGAGCTGTGACGGCCTACCACTGCCTGTGGGCCTTTCGTATGACATTTAATTTAATTATTTATTGCCAAAATCCAAATCCCCACCGTGCATCTGCCTCTTCCTTGCCATCTCTCTCTCTCTCTCTCTCTCTCTCTCTCTCTCTCTCTCTCTCTCTCTCTCATGGTCTAATGGGCAGTGTATGCGGCATAAACATATTCAGGAAAGCGAGGACATCATGGATCTCATCGAAGCTACATGGAGATGGGTTCAGCAACTTCAGCCTCATCTAAATAACTGCACTGTGACATAGTTCTACGGGATACGGTTCTATGATATCTGTATGGAGCTTCTTTTTTTTCTTTTTTTTTTTTAATCTGGAGTCTGGAGGTATTTGGCAATTTATGAATTGGTGTATTTTATAAATTGCGGATTGAGGACAGATTGGTTCTGATGCTTCTGCAGACGTTTTCTGTGGAGTTCATAAGCTTAATTGAGGTTATTTGAACTTATTTCAAATTATTTCAATTTATTTGTACATTGTCACATTGTATTGTAATTTTGTAATTTGTTGTACTTTAATAAACTTTATACATTAGGAATGTCTGGCCCAACAACTGGCACGAATACTGAAAAATACTAGGGAAATGGAGACCTGCGTGTTCCGGTGCGGTGACCGAAACTAACGCAAACGGCCAAAACCCTCCGAACGCGAACATAAAAAAGAAAAAAGAAAATCTAAAAAAACTCTGGAAAAAAATATATGTTATGTAAAATTACTAAAATAATAATACAAACAACTTTTGCCTGGGAGGCATGTTCAAATGCTTAGCCAACGTGGGTTTAAAAAAAAAAAAAACTAAAAAAAAAAAAATCATTTAAAAAAAAGTTTGACCGAACACGTTCCGGAGGCATTCGGCTGAACACCCGAACGTTCGGGAAAGCCCCGAACACGTCCGGTGTGCTACACAGATGGATACCAAGCTTTCCTGGTTAAGAGAGGCCATTCCTCTCAGACGAGAGCTTTAAAGAAGGGACAGTCGGCATCAGTCGCTGCAGCGCCCCGACTGGGCGATAGGCGCGACCAATTCCCATGACACTGTGTTGTATTCGAGGGATGCCCAACGTGGATCTTACACTGAAATTGTGACTGCGGTCACTGCGCCCTTTCTTTTTTTTTTTTGACTGCGCCCTAGTTACCCCATATTTCAAATACAGCGGGAAACAGATCAGGGAAAAAAAAAAAAAAAAAGAAGAAGAAAAAGAGCCTCCTTGCAGGCAGACACCCCTGACCTTCCAGGTGCAAGATGGGCGCAGCTGAAGAGAAACGAACAGGCAGACTGCCAAAAGAAGATGGTAGACAAGTTATAACACATCAGAGTGCAGTGGTGGGCCATGCTGGACCCTTCACTTATGAGATGGCAGCGCCGGTGTTTGCATTGCCATTTGACCTGGATGACCCACAGATGACCCACTGCCAATCTGGAGATACACAGTAAAAGCAGGGTACAGGCTGTGCCATGTGCTGCACGCATCCAAGCGAGCGATTTTAAAAAGAAGGGGGGGAGAGTCAGTAATAGAGGTAGGCAAACATTTGTGGGCAGGTGGTGTTTTTGTTTTTGTTTTCTCGGGAGGCTACCTTCTTCCTCCCCGAGCATAACATAACGCATATGAGTGTAAAGGAATACAACACATAGGTTGCGTTTTATTCGTTTAATTCGCACATGCGTTGTATTCGAGCGGACTGCAGCAACTTTTTGGACAGAAGGGGGCTGAGTCCAGGCTGAGTACGGTCAGTTCTGGCCCGTGCCCGAGGGGCCCAGAAAAAAGGAAAAACGTGATGTTGTATCTTTCCATGTTCTGGCCAAAGATTCATCCTGATTTTTCCACTTGGGGCCTCGCTCCACTTCTCACCAAATGTGCACACACACACACACACACACACACACACACACACACACACACACAGAGAG